ACACGCCAGAGATATTTTAAAATTCAAGTAATCGGCTGATCCATTAAATCGCAATAAAAATTCTAAAAAGAATTTTAACCGACGCTTGACCTGTTAAAATGTGATAAACGTTTAAAATAAAATAAAAGAATAAATGACATTTTTGAAATAAGACATGTAAAAAAGTCGTTACATAAACATTAAGAAAAACGAGACATTTTTATCAGGACATATATTCAAGTGTTGATTTTTATCAGGTAACGTTTTATAATATTACATTTTAAACTTTAAAATATATAAAAAAAAAATGTTATTGTGTCATTTGGTTATTTTTTGTCCTTTCCAGTTTTTATTTGGAGAAATAAAAAGTATCAAGTTAATAATAAATAAAAATAATAAAATCAGAGAATTAAATTAGTAGTGAAAAAATAATTATTTAATTGACCAGTGCTTTGGAACAAAGGTCGTAGATATACCGTTTTCGAAGGGTGGTGTTTTAAAACCTTGTTTTGCGTTTTCATTTCATGCGTTACTGAATCAAGTCATGAGCTTTCATTCCACCAACCAGGTGGCAGGATCAATTTTAGGTGCCCTTGGACATACGGTCACGGGCGCGTTCTCCCCACCAGAACGAGATTCCGTTTCTGGAGCAAGTGACAATTAAATGAAACTAAAGGTCGGTTTTCTCCTTATTTTACTTAGCCAACTGGAGCAAGAAGAAAATGAAAATCTCCTGAAGTTAGCAGCGGAAGTGTTAAGACCAATATGAAATATATATATATTACGTTGACTAAAGGCGACAAACAAAATAAAAAAAATTGAAATGGGTATTTATCGATACTATAATGATAAACTATACGTTTTCTCCCCTTCTAATTGTTTTGGAACAAAGGTCGTATCGTTTTTCGAAGGGTGGTGGCATTTCATTTCAGGGAATCTACACGAATTTGACCCCGTTTTAAAGTGGGGACCCGAGCGCGTACACTCGGGCAAGGGACAAAATTTCCCCACAGCCCCTGCAACGGTCGGTTGCTCTGGCCTCAGTGCGAGCACCGATCCTTCCCTCTGGTGCAATGGGAGGGCGCGGTCTCGGACAGCTTTTCCCCAGAGCTAGACACCTCTCAGTATAATTTTCTCAGTTGCCCCTCTGTCCTTTGACAGAAAAGCCCATGAGCGCAATCTGCCCAAAGACAGAGACGCAACTGAGAGATGATAAGCCTGCAATAAAATCCCTCTAAGGAGAAAATTATGCGCTATATTCATATTCCTCAGCAAAACTTTTCTCTCTATATAATTCATTGCTGGTTCGTGAAATTTAAATATTTTATTTACTCTTCTTATATTTAAAAAAAAACACAGAGAAACTCTGTTCAAACTGGAAGTGGAGATATGTGTTATTTATCCAAATGTGTTCCTAAGTGAATCGTTAATATCAAAATTTGAAATTTTGAGATCGAAGGCCGAAAACCGTCCCGGCTGCTACGAGACATTGCAGAGAGACTCCACATATCTCATATGAACGCGTGTCCGGAATCTGAAAACACGAATAAGTGATTCGCCACGATGCCTCACGATGTAACGGGACACGAATGAATGTTCCGCTTTTCCGTCTGCTATTCCCTAATCAATCAGAATAAAAAGAACACCCATTTTCATTTAAATAAGCATCATAAGTTATGACAATGGATAGTTTAGAACAAGTAACGTGGGGAATATAAACTTCAAATCAAAGAAAAATCCGATTTGCATCCGATGATGTTGATGCTCGGAATCTGTTTGTTTTAAAAAAGCATAAGTTAATATGAGCACCGTTCACTATGCAAAGCGTTGAATTCAAGCGAGTACTCTTTCCTTTAGACCGATTAGAGGTCACAATTGAACAGCGCCCGGAATAGGCCAATCTATGTGTGTCATCTTCAATCAGGCCAAAGTCAAACCTCTCATCTAAGAACCTGCAGAATTTGGTGCAGCTTATCTTGAATATCCTTAACTTAAACCTGTCTTATACATCTCAGCTTACACCTTCAGATTACCAATTCTTTCAATCCGAACCATTTTCTTGGAAAAGATTTTCAATTCATTGGAAAACGGTAAACCATTTCGACTTCTGCATCTCGAGATAGAAGTACTTGGAGATGTGAAACTGTCCAAAAGATAACGAAAGTAAAACAAAATCACACACACACACACACACACACACACACACACACACACACACACACACACATATATATATATCAATTTCAGTTGAGCTCCCTGGGGACGAGGTGTGGGTTGGTAAACAGTGACAATTATAGCTATATAGCGAGACTCTTCACTGTCGGTCATTGGGCGTGTTTCTAAAAATAAATACGCTAAAAAATTCACTTTCCTCCCTACCGTGCGCCGACGGCTTAATGGTTAGAATCTCCGACTGACACCAATTCCTAGTTTAGATCCTAGCTAGAGGCAACCGGATGTCTAACCACACTGATGAGCTGTGAAACAGCGAAACAGTCTGTCTGTGGATGACGTTATATATATATATATATATATATATATATATATATATATATATATATATATTATTTGAATATGTATATGTCCAAATAGATGGACGTGTGTTTCGAATGTTAGCTTTACGTATTCGAATCTCACAATGGGCGAAATTCTCAGGAAGAAAATTTTCAGATGCGATACTAGCGAGCGGCCCCTCTTGAAAGTTCTTGAAATCCATACAACGCGTTGCTCCAAGCCTGTTGAGTGAACTTGGTTATACATAATTTTCATCGATGTTTCGGCTAGTAAGAAATCGCTAGTAATTGTGATCTAGATTTTTAGCGTACCAACCTTGTTTAAACCTTAGATAACGACACATGATGAGCTATATCCCAGTAACTAAGACACGCTCCACATTGTTGCGTTATAAACCCTAGTTGGGCTGATAATTGTATCTGAGCAGCCGTCTGTAACAGACACTGCAGAAGCATATTAGGCTACGAGCCACTAGCTATTATGCCTTCTCTCTCTCTCTCTCTCTCTCTCTCTATATATATATATATATATATATATATATATATATATATATATATATATATATATTATAAACTTGAAATCCTGACTAATGCATGGAATAATAATGCAACACAAAATGTACTTAGAACAAAATGTATTGAAACAAGAAAAGTGTACACAATATTTACATATAGTCTTTTGTATATTCCTGGTAAGACCGTTCCTGGAGAATGTGTTGACTGAGTCGCAGTCGGGCAGAGTCTCTGGTTGAATCTCTTGATTCCTCCCTCTCGTCCCGGTACCAACCATATTTATATGGTCGGTACTCTACTATACAAATTAGGTGGATCCTACCACAACAATATATATATATATATATATATATATATATATATATATATATATATATATATATATATATTATGTTTCAAATTATGTTAAAAATCGTGCTGAAACTTTATTCAGATCAAGTATGTATTGGAGCTTCAAAAGGAATAATTTTCACTAAGCTATATTAACAAAAATAATACTGCAGTAATTTAAATTATAAATGTGGTGGTACGATTTAGATATTATGAAAATACTAATATTTGCTATTTTTTACGTCTTATCAAACAATTTACAATTTATTTGATGTTAGAAAATACTTTATGATATCACGAATTTGTCGGTGATAATGATATATTATTGATACAAGTCCAAAAAATTAACCTATGGTTGGGGGAAAAGACAATCGCGCATGCTAGCTTTAAGGACTTGATATTCACATGCGATCACATATGTAGGTAATGACCATGATCGTGTTTGGGTAAATTCGGTGTCTATACGAGAAGCGGTGTTTCAAAGTGATATGGCCGTCAGCCTATATATGAATAAATACAAAAGGAAAACTTTTCTCCGCTATCGCTCTTCGGCCTCTGGTGGATTTTATCAAGGCAAATGTAAGGAACTTATTTTGAAAAATCAGAGAGTGTGTGGATATTATCGCGTAGCGGTATTGAACCGCCTCAACACAATTTTTGTTTTTACTTTAGAAATGTGATAGGAAACAATCAGCTATCAAGAGAAAACAAAACAAAGCTAATAAATGAAAAGGGCGATATTTTGGTCAATAAACAACTTTCAATATATTGTAAAAAGAATTACAATGACATCGATTTTTGGTTGAAATCTTGTAGTTTGTTACTTAATTAACTTTAAACTCAAAATGTGTGTGTGTTGAAATGGTGTCTATGAGTTTACCCAAGAAGTTAATGTTTCTATTATTTTTATCTGGACTCCAGGGAAAGATTTCAGTTCGCGAAATAACGGTCAGTCTCAATTAAAAGAATATTATTAGTTGGGAAGATGTAGAATTTCTGAGTGCGGAAAAAAAAAACAACTTTCGTTTAGAGAAATTTTCTGTTGATTGTAGTTGAAAGAATGAATAAATGTCGTAGATGTGTATACGTACGTGTGAGCGTGTATGAGTATATGCATGTTTCACAGAATTTTCCCTTCAGGAAAAAACGTACCAATCAAGAGTCAGAGAAATATCAAGGCCCTATAATCCACATTTTTGCACAAAATTGGACAAGTTATTTTCAACTATTTGGAATGATGGGACATTAAAATTCTACAAGGGATCAATAATGTTAGTCTGAAGATCGAATTGGAGTTCGATCACTTATTTGAATCAATCTAAATGTGAAGAAAAACAATTTCTTACTTGGAGGGAAAACACAAACTATGAAATAAAATATAGCTTTAAATGATTAAAAATTCGAAAATAATATATATTCGTGCCACGAGCGTTTTGCTTATTGAGTTTAATGGATGCTTAGAAGTATTGTTCCCTTTTAAGTTCCAGAAGTATTAAGACGTCATTCTTTTGTCCTCATTGGAATACTGTTCTTCCATAACTTTAAGATCCTGATGGAATCTGTCACCTTGCGCATTATTAACATCGCTCAAATTCTAGAATCGAATTTCGGCTCTCTGATTTTCAATTCTGAGCTTTTACTCATTACATCAACACACATCAAAGTTTACAGCATCTGATGTGCTAACGCGGTCACTCATCTAAGTACTGACTATACTCAACACCGCTTAACTTCGGTGATCGTACGAGAAACGGTCTTTCAAACAGATATGGCCGCAAGACCGGAATAGCCATTGTAATTTGAATGGAAAGTATTGTCATGCAAGAGACAAGTCAATTAATCAAGCAAGTTGATACAATAAAGAAATAAGATAATCCGAGTGTACACAATAAATATGAAACGAATTAATTTCTTTCTATGAAATTATCGTATTGAAATCTATTAAAGTCAGTCCGTCCAGCGGAATCTCTACTAACAAAAGGCAAACAGACAGTGAAATAGCAGTAGTAATAGTGAAATGTTTTGTTAGACGTGTCAAACAAAACTGTCCAATACAATACACGGTTATGCAGTCCGTTTATACACAGATGTACCAGTCGTTGTAATAGTTCTGATACGATTTACAGTCATTTTCTGTGTAGAACTGCCACTCATTTGAATGCTTTAATTGAAATTGCTGAAACAGGAAAGAGTAAAAGTTTGCATTAATAAATAAAAACGCTCAAACTAGTATCGAGCGTACATGCAATTCTTTAGTCTTGAAATATAACGGGAAGGGAAATTACAGAAACTTCCACGGAATGTATTAAGGAAAACGAAAGAAAAGGAGTAATCATCATTTGAAAGAAAATAGAATATATGATTGTCTGCAAAAGAAACAACACAACATGCAGATTACAGACTGGAGGCCTCAAAATTAAACAAGTACTAAAATTAAAACATATCGGAAGTGTGTGAAAGCGCATTTTCCTTTTATTTAACGCAGGGCTGGGATAGATGATACGGGCATTTTCGATGAGCATTTGTGGGGGTTTATTAGAATTTGATCTAGTCACGACCTTTCTATATCGCGTAGCGATAAACATTACGAACAACAGGACGTAGATATAAATGTAATAATGTGTGTACAATTCCCACACATGAGATACAAAACTTGCTTAGGCGCAAAAGATGACTACAAAGAAAATAGTTAAAATAAAAAAAAATGTAAATATAAACCAATTTCTCGGCTCTGATTCTAAAGTCTGTCAAATATCTCGGACATTTGTTGAACACAAACACAAAATATATATATATATATATATATATATATATATATATATATATATATATATATATATATATATGAAAGTGTATATAAATATAAATAAATATATATATGTATAATTATTTATATATTATATATGATACTTATTAGAAAGCGCTTAATATCAGAGATAGAGCTAACATATTTGGTGGGATAGATGTGAGTTTGTGACCCTGGGTTTCACGCTTTAGCGATCATGAAACCCAGGGTCACAAACTCACATCTATCCAACAAATAATATATATATATATATATATATATATATATATATATATATATATATATCTATATTATCTGATTACAACTACTAGCTTGCCTACATGAGGCAATTAAAATTTCTCAAGAAAACCACTATCTGATGCGCTATGCTTTAGACCTTTTGTCCAGAGTGGAGGAGCTAAGCAACACCGAAGCTGATGGTGGTTTTGCACACAAAAGAGGACACGGATTATATATATATATATATTATATATATATATATATATATATATATATATATATATGCCACATTAAATAATGTAAGCAAATTTTGTCAACGTATTTTTAATAGGATCTCCTCGTAATCACGAACAAATTTATTATTAAAGGAATAACGACAATTACCATGTCCAATCATATTTATTTTATTGAAAGTACTTTCGACATCAGCCCAATATCATCATCGTAGTCTTGTTTTTTTTAAGACAAAAAACTTGTGTCCATAATTCTCCTAAGACAAAATTGTTGTCTTCATCTGAAAATTGAATTATATATATGACATAACGTTATATAATTTTATTTATCAAGAAACCGTATTGAGAATATAGTATGTCAAATTGCAAAAAAAAAATTTCACGTATGTCATGAGTCTGATGAAGTCCTAATAGATGAAACGCGTCCAAATATATATATATATATATATATATATATATATATATATATATATATATATATATATATATATTTTAAGCTCTATTATAGAACGGAAAATGTAAAGACGCTGAAAAAAATGAATATTCTTTTTTATTAAGCTTACCTTGTCTGTCATATTTAATGAAATATGCTTAAAAGATAGGCTGCTGCCCAAAACTACATTAATAATATATACACTGTAAAATGGGTAAATTGTCGGTAATTCATATTTTTAATTTCGCGAATGCGCGTTATTTGTTTTTGATGTTGTTGACTGCACAGTATAGTAGGGTCAGTTGGGCACTGTGTGTGAGAAAAAAGCACTATGACGCATTTCAATCCGCTATGAATTAGGAAACGGCATGGTGTATTGCTTGGCATTCGCGCCGAAAGCTCCAATATTTCCGAGTGTTTGGATGTTAATCTGAAGAGAGTGCAGATTCGGAAAAGGTTAGATGATATATCCAGTCAATACCATGGTGTTTGGAGTGGTCACCAGTTGTGACGAAGATTGAAGCCGTGGCTGTTAAATGATTCTGTATTTGGCAACAAGACTTTGCACCAAGCCACACAAGCAGGAAAAAACAGTCATGGGCGTCAGACAGTTTCTGCAACCACATCACTCCTTAATTAATTTTTGCCACCTAACTAATCACACAGCAACCCTTGATTATTATGTGTGGGTCTCAGTTGAGCTAGAGACCAAGAAAACAAACCACCACAGATGAACTGAAGGCAAAGATTATGGCAGCATTCAGCAAATTAATCATGGAAGCCGACCAGATTAAATCTGTATATATATATATATATATATATATATATATATATATATGTATGTATGTATGTGTGTGTGTGTGTGTGTATTAATGAACTCAAATATATGTCAGTGGCCAAATCGATGTTTTGTGTACACGCTGCAAGTCGTAGGTGTAAAGTGAGTTGTAAACGCGTGAAATGATTCCATCATTTCTATTGCTTACTTATTTTGAAAGACTTTTGTACAAGTATTTTGAAGCACTTTCTTCTTCTTCTTCTTCTTCTTCTTCTTCTTCTTCTTCTCATATTTAAACGTGTCACATGTTTTAGGTGTATAGACCCTCGTGGCGCTGCAGGAAAGCTTGCGTGCTCCCCTCGATTTAATAAGTACATCTTTGAAAATAGTACGCGCTAATCATCCGGATTTCCATAAATATCCCTTTTGCCTCAAATCCATGTGAAACATGCGGTCCTTGGTACACGATATTTATTCATAAATAAGTAACTAACACAAAAGTGCAGAGGATTCAAAACATTTACTGTTTACTTGGTTAAGTAACATTCACTATGAGATTTGGAAATAGTTGAAAACAAATATAAATGTAAGATAGCGATATGTGAATTTTAACGCCAAATCATATTATTAGCGTTCTACCTCTTGGTGAATATGTAATCGAATTATTCCACAAGGTAGGGTGATTGGCTCCACGCCCAATCTTTCTACTCAGAGGGAATGTTGACTGTCAGTTGGAGCTTTCCCTCCTTAAACAAGTCCTATCTACCCGGATTTTTGAAGTCGAAGTTTTCCTTCTGGGAGACTGGTTGCTAACCTAGTTTGAAATCCTGATCTTCTCTACTAATAAACACATAGCTTAGAGAAGAAACGATCGTTATTTTCTTTCCCAAAAATTGAATATAACGTACTCGGTTGAATTTTGAACTCCGCCCATCAATTTCTCGTTCCAATCTGCTCACACTTACGCAAACTGGATATATTAAAGTTCTTTTATAATCATTCTTAGTTTTATGCCAGCATTAGTATTCAGTTATGGGATTTTCTTTTAAAGTAATTCTGTCTCAGTCAGTAGCCAAAAAGTGAGTCCGTTCCCGGAATTGTTTCAAACAGGAAAAAAATAACCTCAGCATTCAAATCGTGTTCAACATTTCTGTGATATTCATAGATATTATTACCTATTAATATTTTTTGAATAAGTTGAAAGTCACAAAGACGGACTACACTACATTTTCAGAAGAGTTGTTTTTTCTTCAATCGACAGAGGATGAATAGTTTTGGCCCACTACATCGACGTATGGCCAAGGACGCATTTCAAAAGCTGGACAGAGTATTGCAAGACAGGGGGATTTCTTTGATAACAAAGAAAAGAATACTGAGCTTTTATGTGACATCTGTCCTTCTTTTCGGCAGCGAATATTGGACGATTTCCGCAAAAGATGAAAAAGAAACTCGAGGCGACGGAGATGTATTTATACAGAAGGATGCTGTATATAATAGACAGAGCGTGTGAGCAAGGATAAGGTCATAGAGAGGATTCAAACAAGGGGAAGACATACTTAACAGCAGGAAGAGGCAGCCGAAATTTACGGGACACATAATGAGAAAGGAGGGTCTGGAGAATATGATACCCACGGGTCGAATAGATGGAAAGAGAGACAAAGGAAAAGAACACATGATATACCTAGCGGGTTTAATCAAGTGGATAACAGAACGTGGTTTGGGAGAAGTAGCATATGGAAGGAACTTTTCGGGATCAACAATGGATAGGAAAAGGTGGAGAACCATCATCACCTACATCCTGAATGAACTTGGCAACCAATAGACGAGTGATTCCCAAACGTTTCGGGGCTATAACGCATTTAAACATCTTTAAAATCATGATGCCTCCTTGTAACATATAATTCTTATTATTCAAAATGTGAAGGAAGAATAAAGGTCATTAACTTTGTCTAAACAAGCGTCCAGGAAAGAGGGGAAATAAAAGAACGAAAGGACAGTTGAAATACTGAAGCATACATATACATAAATATATGTACATATTTTTATGTATGAATACTGTATAAAAACAGTACGTATTAAATCACACAGACACATATACACGCACAGACTCACTAGAAAAAAAACCCTGTTAATAACACATTCTTGAATTGCACCTCCTTAAAAATAAAATTGCCCCACACCCTTTGGGACCTACGACACACGTTGGGAACACGGCAATAAACGGATTGTATGAGAGCTGAATATTTTCCTTGGAACGATGTTATGAATAAAAATTCGAAGGGAAGGGAACTATAAAATCAATGACGTTA